TATTTGGCCAAACAACTGGAAACTATAGCCTACGAGATTCACCAAAAAATTAACCATCACAACTCTCCTACTCCATGGATACCTGATGTATAGCAGATATCCACATGTCATCTATTCTGTTGACTCTGTTGTCTCTGTTCAGGCTCCTGAGAAGCAGCAGGGAAACATGACCTGGCTGGTGATGGAGTTTGTGCTAGTGGGGTTCTCCAACCTCCCAGACCTGAGAATTATGCTATTCACCTTGTTCTTCTTCACATACCTGATCACCCTCAGTGGCAATGTCACCATTGTCACCATCATCCATGAGGACCGAACTCTTCACACTCCCATGTACCGCTTCCTGGCAGTGCTGTCTATTTCCGAGACCTGCTACACTCTGGTCACCATCCCCAATATGCTTGCCCATCTGCTGATGGAGAGCCAGGCCATCTCCATTGCTGGCTGTCGGGCTCAGATGTTCTTCTTTCTGGGCTTGGGGTGCAGTCACTGCTTCCTCCTTACCTTGATGGGCTATGACCGGTATGTGGCCATCTGCCATCCTCTCCGCTATTCAGTGATCATGAGACCCACCATTTGTCTTTGGCTGGGAGCCCTCGTGTTCTGCTGTGGGTTCTCTGTGGCCTTGATAGAGACTAGCATGATCTTCTCTTCTCCTTTCTGTCACAGCAACCGCGTGGAGCACTTCTTCTGTGACATTGCCCCTGTCCTGAAGCTCAGCTGCACAGAGAGCACCAGCAAAGCACTAGTCATTTTTTTCTTAAGCATCTTTGTTGTTCTTGTATCCTTTCTCCTTATTCTCCTCTCCTATGCCTTCATCGTGGCTGCCATCCTGCGGATACCCTCAGCAGCCGGCCGGCACAAGGCCTTCTCCACCTGTGCAGCCCACCTCACTGTGGTCCTTGTACATTTTGGCTGTGCCTCCATCATCTACCTGCGGCCTGAGTCGGGGGGAAACCATGATCAGGATCGCCTGGTGGCTGTGTTCTACACAGTGGTGACTCCGTTGATGAATCCTGTGGTGTACACACTGCGGAATAAGGAGGTGAGGGTGGCTCTGAGGCGGACTCTGGCACGTATCCGTGGGTCTCAGAATTTTTAAATAAGGGCTTATTCCACATTCTACTCTAGCTTTTTATTAGCATGTCCTTCTCTAAAGATTCAGTTTCCCCATCTTGGAAATAGGGGACACTAAAACCAATTGCCATTAA